GCAGGATCAGATCCAGAAAAATCAAGAAACTGTTCGATCTGTCTATGAGCGCTACATACTGGCTTCTCAGGCCTCGGGTTGATCTTAAGAGCACCATGCGAGAGCGCTGGATGTCCCATCTGAATGTGGGAAGGGACTGCCTCTGGCCCATCTGCTGGTTCACCGCCACAAAGGCCAGACCAACAAAGATGGCATCCCTGCAATGGCAGATAGAACACCGCTGCCTCCCCACAAACGATTGGCTGATTGATCGAACATATTTGGAACAAAAGGATTTAGCCACACCATAGTGCACATCCTGTCTGACAGTCTTTCCTGCCCACAAGATCCTCGAGACTATAGAGTACATTTTTCTACAATGTCCAGGGGCGATCCTCACTTGGCGCCGGTGGGATAGGATTTGGAGGTCACTGGCACAAAGTCTGAATGGCCATGGGACTGGAGAGCACTTCGGTGTGAAACATGGCTCCCCCCTACGAACAACATTTTTGAAGAGAACGTGTTCAAGATCGAGAGGAGGGTCGTTCTTTGGGCTTTGTGGAGGAGACGGTGCATATTATGTATTGAAAAAGTAAGATTAGAGGACGGGGAAATGACCGAGCTAATCAAACAATATGTTCAGGATGAACTTACAATACAACGGCAGACAATGAAAGCTAAAATGGATCAAACTCATACCAAAAAGGACATAACACAGGTTATCGAGCAATTCTCAAGGGATTGGTTGGGAAGTGACCAAGGGGGTACAGTAGCTTATGTCCGTTGGGAAGGAGGCAGTCTCCCAGAATGCGGAGAGGAGGAGGATAACTTGAGACGAGATTACATCATCTGCTTTAAAGACTGGACTAAGGTGGATGCAGCAATACCGCTGCGCTCCCCCTTGGATTTCCCAACCCCTTTCCGCCTCATAGTCTATCAATGGTGGATCTCGAGTGGTATGGACTAGAGTGAGGGAGAGAGAGGCTCGAAGGCTGCAACTCCAGGCAGAAGGGGGCTAGATGGTTACATAGTTTGGGTGCCCCGCAGCAGGCCTGAAGAGACCCCCTTCTCCTCCCTAGTTGAGTGCTCACCCTCCTGCTCAATCAATCCCTTGTCTCGAGGGCAGTCAATGCTGGCAGGTTGGAAGACAGTCAGAAACAACTCAGTGCGATTGAAATGTTTTTTGTGGAAGGGACGTTGGATCCGATTTCCAACAGGTGTTGCTCCCCACCAATAGATGGAGCCTTTCCGAGGGAGATAGAGGTGTCTGCTCGCACCAGCATCCCTAACTCCCATACGGGCGGTTTCCAAAAAAAAAAAAAAAAAAAAAAGATTAAGCCTCCCCGCCCCACTCGCCAAATATGCAAAATGTAAATGCATTTCACACAAGAACGTGGGAAGGTACTCTTAACCTACTTTTGTCTTTTTCACATTTGGTGAGTGACGCGTCGTGACCCATTATCACCCGTTATCAGAGAGAGAACTCTCTGAGCAGGTTAAGCACAGCAACCAACACCAGAACTGTAACAACTCTCGAAAACCGAATTTTATGTGATTAAAAGAAATATATATATATAGATAAAGATATATACTGTCACAAAAGACAGAGCGTAAGCACGTGAAGTGGAAGAAGAAATAAGATGAGTGAAGAAAAGAAAAATGAAAGGACAGACAAGCAAAGAGACAGACAAACGAGAATCACACAAAACAGTGTCCTCTTATTCTTTGGTTCACCATATTCTTATTCTTTCAATGTTTCACCAAAAAAAATGCATTGAACAAAGGATAAAAATAAGAAACAAAAACACATTGAAATCATTCAGTTTCTAAGTTTTTTTAACGCCGCCTCCACCGTGCCTCTAACGTACATGGCTCGCCACGTTGATGAAGTTGAGCGCGAGCTGCCACCATCCCCGTATGCCATAACAACCCACTTGCACGTTATGAGAAAGAGGCAGAGTGAAGGAAGAGGTGTTAAGCACAAGGAAGAGAGGAGCAGAAAAGGAAAACACATAGGCAGAGGGATAAAAAATCAAAAAATGTGACACAAATATCTTCTTTCTTTTACTACATTTTTCTTTCTTTCACAAAATCCATAGGCAAAGGGATCAAAAATAAAAAAAGGTGACCCAAACATCTTCTTTGTTTTACTGCATTCTTCTTTCTTTCACAGTTTTGCAGTTTTGGTGAAGAGTCTACCACGTTCGCTTTTCAGCACACATGCACTTCCTTCTTCATTTTTCATTCTCATTTTCACCATCCGGACTTTTTCTTTGAGAGTGTTAGGGTGCAGGGTACAAACAAAGTAAAATGGCACAAACTTATGTTCCTCTTTTACTGCATTTTTCACTGTTTTGCAGTTTTAGTGAAGGGTTTCCCACCTTTGCACATGCTTGTACACTCTTTTCAGCGCACCTGCACATTTTTGTCAGCATGCAAGGTACTTCTAAGTAAGACCCTCACGACAGATAGGACAATTGTCATAAGGATGTGGGCGATGGAAGCAGCCCTCCCGCTGCTCTACGGGACGAAAACCATTCAGGTAAGCAACTTCGTCACAATAGGAGTCAGGGCAGCTATCATCAACCATCAACCATACCTCTAAAGCATGCACAGCAGAGGGTGTGCAAGTTGTAGGCCATGACGATTGTGGGGCGCTCACCATCAAAGTTAAGTGCACATTCGCTATAGCGCCCGCAGACACAGATGAGACATACTGCATCTGGATGTAGAGGATGTTCATAATCCGGATACAGGTGGCATCCCTGCTGACAGGGCCCGAAAAATTATACAGTTGTAGAGATGTCGACAAAGCCGATGCTTTCCACAACCAAATGTAATTGTGTTATTGATCTCACAAAGAAGGAGGTCACACAGTGTTAGTGCACCATGTGGGGGAATGAAGACTAAAGCAAGCACGGTGACAAACATGGAGATAGGCACGAAGACAGACACAAAAACGGCCATGGAAACAGAGGCGGAAGCAGGCACATAGACAGGTGCAAAGGTGGGGACTGAAGCACACGAGGTACCCATAGAGTCAGTAATCTGGAAGGAGACAGACACAGAAACAGGCACAAAGACAGGTACGGAGACGGACACAAAGATAGGTGTAGAGGCATGCATGGAAGTGCACGAGGTACCCATAGGGTCAATGACCTGGAACAGTAGCAGGTTAGGGTAATTACGCACAAGATCACAGATGGCAGTATACCATAGCACTGCCATTCCATAATTCCCAAGAACTAAAGGCACAGACAAGAGCGGTGTAGTGGGTAGGAGCATGTAGAATATAAGCACAACCATGCGAACAATGGTCCAGGCCGCCACCCGAAGGGGCACGCTGCATATCAAGTCGGCGCCTTATCAAAGCAGTCTCCAAAACAGAGACATTAAATCCCCCATATCGAGTGTAATTACTATCCTATAAGGGATGCAGGGTCGGGTTATCACCATATAACTCACGTTCCTTAGCATTAAGATCAGAAGCAATGGCCAAAAAATTAGAGTGAGTATATGGTTCTCGACGATAGGCTTGTAGGCATATGTTTGTAGCAGCGAGGTCCGTCAGGCGGATTTTCTACAGAATCTCCTACAGTCCCCTTGCCAAGTCCATCCCCGAATGGTCTCTCGCCATCATCCCTCGTATTTTGTGTTTGCCGCGTTGGAAAAGGTCTGCAGCCGAATTGGGGCGGCAAAAGACGGGGGAGATGTTGGGGAAGGTCGTGATAGGGAGAAGGAACGGGTTCTTTTTCGTCCAAGAACAAAGATGGGAGTAAAGGGGAGTAAGTTAAGGTTGGGGAGTAGGCCGAAGCCGACATCTAGGACGGTGAACTAGGCTTTCTTTAGGGGCGGAACATGATGTGTTATCATATTATTCTTTCATTTCCTATTTGAAAAGACTGGATTTTCAGTCTTACAGACTTTTTTTTCCAGTAAATGTCAGTAACATTCTCAGGGGGCTATAAACTTGGGGGGAAGCGGGATTGGACCACCGGGATCGGAACCGGTAACATGTCCCTGTTTTCCACTGGTATTTTCTAGTTTGTTGCTCTCACGTTTCGAGTCCAGGAGGTGTACATGCAATCTTTGTATTGGTCATTGTGAGCCCCGTTTCACCCGAGTATTAGGCTCTGTTGATTGGTTCACCTGTCGCGAAGCACACAAGTTCACTATGGCTTAATGTCCACATGGCAGTACCTACTGCAACATGGGTCACAAGGGTCTCTTTTTCATTCCCCTTTACGTCTGGTTTAATGGTATTCCCGCTCCTTTTGCTGGTAGGGAGAATTACCGTCCACCCAGTTTCACCTTTCACCACAAGCAATTTCGTTGTATCGCAATTTTTGGGTCGCACTGTGAGAGATCTGGCACTCAAATTATCTCACATGCTGTCATACGCACCCCAAACACATTCAACAGCCCACACTTCATGATCATTAAACACAAACAATAATAGGTAGATTTCATTTGTTATAAGCTACGTTACCGAACGTACATGTAAGGGGCCTCTCGGTACGAAACGTACAGGTAATATTTGTAAACTGTACGTCATCTCATACATTTTGATTACGTCCCCGTACGAGGGGAAAAAAAAAAAAAAAAAAAGTTATGCACCAGCACAAAACAAGCAACATTTGGTTGAGCATCAGCAGCAGAATCTTATTACAATTCAAGGGGGGGAAAAAAACCGGATTAACAAAAGAAAAATATCCTACGGGGCCCCTAGCGTACGAGTACATGAGTCTGAATCCGTACTCGTGCGTACAGGTGACAACGCAAGTTATAAGAACCCCAAGTGAACATTTCAGGATATCGGGTGAAGGGACTGTGCTAGCGCTAGCACATCGATGCCGGCAGACGGGTAAGACCCAGTTCCCCCCGGCTCGACTAGCGCCTGGGGAGGGGAGCTCATCGGATGCTGGGCCTGTATGTGCGCCCGACAGACGTGCGTGGCTCCTTGATTGGCCACCAGGCATCTATTGTTGATGACATGGATGACCGTGACGCGCGGGCAGGGGTAGCGCCAGCCTGTGAGATCGACGAGGAAATATATAGGGGCGCAGCTATTTGGGTACGTGATGGAGTTGGTGGGGGAGCTACAACATGGAGATACTTTCTGTGACACGGAAGACGACGTCTCGCAGGCAGAGGATGATGGGAAAGATGAGGAAGACGTGGTCAACTACTGTGCTAAGATGTGTGCAAGGTGTGTGGATTGGGAAGTAGAAAGTGAGATGAGCCGTGAAGTGGTTGTGTGGGACAGGGATGAGCATAAGGGAGGGGCTGGCAGGTGGTGGGATAACCTGATGACGCTCTCTTATCAGGTCGACGCTGAGAGTGTCGACGTTGACGGTGACACTTATCCGCATCAGGGTAGTGGAGACGAGGCAGGTGGGTGGGAGGTGGAGCTGGGGTTCATGGCAAAGGCGGTAGTTGCGGTGGCGGAGCGGCAAGGAATGGGCGTGATGGGCGCGAAGGGTGAGAAGGATGACAACAACAACAACAACAACGACAACGAGCAGGGAATGGGCGAAACGGACGAGACGGGCGTGAAGGATGATAACAACAACAACAACAACGACGGCGACAACAATGAGGCGGGCGAGAAGGATGACAACAAGGCGGTAGTTGCGATGGACGAGCGGCAAGGAGTGGGCCCAGATGACAACAACAACAACAACAACAACGACAATGAGCAGGGAATGGGCGAAATGGACGAGACAGGCGTGAAGGATGATAACAACAACAACAACAACAACAACAACGGCGGCGACAACAATGAGGCGGGCGAGAAGGGAGAGGAAGGATGACAACATCAACAACACTGACGACGAGCAGCCATTGGGCGAAATGGGCGAAAAGGATGACAACAACAACAACAACAACGACAACGACGACAACAACAAAAACAACAAAACAACAACGAAGGTGGTGGCGACGACCACGGTAGCAGCGGGGCAGAGAGTGGTGTTTGTGCGTTCAAGATCGCTATCAGCACAGAGGGAGAGATGCGCAAGAGGACGTCGAGGGGATTGGGGGTGAAAACAACAACAACAACGACATCAACAACAACGACAACATTAACAACAACAAAAACAACATCAACAACAACGACGACAGCGGTGGCGACAACCACGAACGCAGCGGGGCAGAGAGTGGTGTTTGTGCATCCAAGATCCTTATCAGCAGCGTGGAAGAGATGCCTCAAGCAATAATAACAACAGCATCAGTGCAGTGGGGGGGAATTAGTACAGTGTTGGGGCTGGCAAGGTGGGGTTTGAGGTTGAAGGTGCGACCTACCGTTCCCCAACATCCTTACCCGGTGTTTTTTCATGTTGATTCCTGTCTCCTTTTCTGGCACTGGGTGGGAGTAGGATAGATGATCTCCCACTCAATGATTAGGGTTGTTCGGCTCTCATCTCTCAAGCCCTCAACTCTTTAATCATGAAGGGGTGTCACTTGGCCCCATGAGGAGTTTTGACGATTAAGTTTTGATGTTTGGTTGATTCCTTGATTGGGGTGAACTACGTGATGCTTCTCGTTCGTATTTTGGTGGGATAATACTTCATGGGCAGGAGGTTAATCCTTCCCTTGCATAGGGAAGTAATCATTGCCTCTGCTCTTTTCGGAGATATAGGTTCCGGCCCTTCCGGGGCGATTTCATTCAGAGTGATTGTATGTGCGCTATGACATCTCTACACACCATTGTATAGGGGATAAATGTTTCATGAGCAGGAGGTCAATCCTTTCCCTGCGTAGGGAAGTAATCAATGCCTCTGCTCTTTTCGGTGATACAGGTGAGCCGCGAACAGACACAGACTGGCTGCACACATCATAGCATAGGGATGCTGGACCCAATTTCCAGCTCACACACGGTACATCCGTACTAGGTTTCCGCTTCTTGGTTTGATTGACAGGATTGAGCTCGATCGCTTGCTCGCTATGGAGATATGGTAGTCTAGGTAGATAGGGTTCTCCCCTAACGAACACAGATCACATCTGTGTTAGGGTTTCGGTTTCTGGTTTGATCGATAGGGCTTGATGCCTCGCTCGCCATGGAGATACGGTAGATTAGGTGGATAGGGTTCTCACTTCATGGGACATGTATTGATTGATGAAAAACTACAGACAGTAGTGGATACAAAGTAGGATACAGACACAGATCGATGTATAGGGATGCTGGACCCCATTTCCAGCTGACACACATCACATCTTTGTACAGGGACGCTGGGCCCAATTTTCAGCAGATGCAGCTCCTGACCAATAGATGGAGCCTTCGACGTTAGCGCCTACTTATCGGGGGATGCTCTTATCACCTCGTTAAGTAGGTTTTACGTATACAAAGTTAAAGAAAAGAAAAAAAAAAGAAAAAAAAAAGGACAATAGATTCAATATAATAAATTTAGTACAAAATATAAAATAGAAAATAGAGTTGACAATAATCTTTTTTTAATAACGGCAATGCCGCAATGGCCGTAGGGTATTATCATCGGACTAACCGGCCCAGGTAAATTCAATCATGTTCCTACTCTGACACCGTGTGCCCTTTTGAGCCCACGGTGGCCCCTTACTGCCTGCCATCAGGGAACCCCCAGTGGGCGACACCGGCCAGGGGACAGCCGGTAGCAGAGGGATCGCGCATCATCTGAGCGGTCAGTCGCTGTGCCTCTCCCTGATTACTCCTCCCTTCCTCTATATGAACATCAGCAGAGATTGCTTATTAAACCACCAGTACGTTTCTCAGCTATCGATGCCGAACATAAAACTACCCTGCTTGCCAAAGAAAAACGAACCGGCGCGGGCCTCATTTTGGCTGGCGCCGGTAGTAGCCGGGCCTGCCCGCCTCCCGTGTTCACCGGCGGGCATTTCTTTTTCAAGCAGGAAAAGGKACTGGKGGKTTAATGCTACTTGGGGCGCCCAACGGGCTATCTCGACGTGGCGGGCGCCAAGCATGTCCGGGAAGGTACGTGAGGCCAATGAGGATTGAAGTTCACTGAACCCATGACCTCCTGAATGCCACTTACGTGCATTACCAACGAAGTGGCTATACGGCTATTTCTGTACTATATAGTATATACTATACGATTCTGGAAAAAACTTCAAAAAACGAAATTACGTCACAATGGCAATTGAGTTCAATCAGTCGTGACCTCAGCAAAACACTCGCCGCCAGATGAGAACCCTTTCAGCGATCCGAAGGCACTCGCAACTTGAGACCTAAGCTACCAGAGCGACCCGGGTCCACTTGCCCAGCAGGGCCAAAAAACAAATAAAAATTTAAAAGTATATATATATATATATATATATCGTCACAAACAGAACTGCCCGGTAAACCGTAGGCAGAGAGAGAGAAGAGGACAACAAACGAGGGGCTGTGACAAACTGTTTCGTCGGAGTTTCACCGACTCATCAGGAGGCTGAACCCTCAACAGTCTGCAGAATCCCCTCACTGATTACACTGTAAATGATAATCTACCTTAACCAAAATCAAAGTAGACTATCACTCACCCACACCAGATGGAAAACTCTACAGACTGTCGGTTCACACCCCATCACAAGCCAGCAAAACATCCACGAAACAAAGAAAGGTCTGTCACAGCCAAAAAATACACTCCAGACACGCCGCTGGCACTAGAGGCACAGCATGGCATATATTTCTTTTAAAAAACTATATTCTTCTCTCAATTTCACCTCACACTACCTACCTACCACTTTACTATACATATATTTTCTAGTTTCAAATTCTATTTTAAATTTGGTGAAGAACTTCGAGTTAACCCTGAAAGTTGTTCAGATTATTTTTTATTTTTTTTTAAAAAGCTATGTTCTTCTCTCAACATACTCGCTTTTCGGAGTTTTTCGATTCTTTTATTATTATTTTTGGTCGGGACCTTCCCTGGTCCTTGCACGGCCGGACCGCCCGAGAAAATAGGATGACCCGTGCAACCCGGCTGGTAGCCTAGCTTGAGACAAAAAAAAAAAAAAAAGAGTCAACGCGCCGCCCAAACAAATTGAACGACCCACAAAACTTTATCAATGGCAAGCGTGTCCAATAAGTTGACACCTCAACAATAATTCCACCACTGGATGGCATCCCCTCTGGCACTCCGAGGGCACTCACAGCTTAGCACACGGGGAAACAAACAAACAAACAAACAAACAAACAAACAAACAAACCAACCATACCTGTGAAACAAAGAGGGAGTCACCTTTTTTTTTCCTATGCTCTTATAATACTTGTATTAATTGAAGGGAATAGCGGTTCTCACGTGACGCTCCCGCGAGGCCAGCCGCCCATTGTTGGGAAAACGGGCCGGGAAAAGGTGTGGGCCCAAGGGAAACCGGGAGAAACGCGCAAGAGATTTTTGCAGCGTCGTTGTCGCGCGGCGCATGTTCGAATAAAAGCACATGGCAGCCAGCGTTGCGATGTCTTTTTGTCTTTTCCTTTTTCAGTACTAGTTTGTTTCGCGAGGCAGCGCATTGATGCTCCTAGATACCAATCCGTAGCCTCAATCTCTGTTCGAACTTCGAAACGGAATCCGATCTTTCGAGTTAAAGTGGCACGCGTGGTGCATTCCAAGTAGGTAGGTAGGTTTTCTTTTGCTCCCTGCACGTAGTTTTGTAGGTAGGTCTTTTTTGCTCCCTGCACGTAGTTTTTTGTCAGCCTGCATGTAACCGTGTCGATTTGATTACGGCCTCACTGCATTGTACTCACCACATGCACAAAAGACAAAAACGTTCCACGGCACCACAGCAGTGGTGCAAGAGCAAGGCTGTACCAGTCCCTCATCGCGGTGACGAGGGGTGGGCAGGCATAGCCAATCGGGGAAATCGGCGATGCTAGCGCCAAAAAATGGGCAGTCACTGCACCTCCCCCCCCCCCCCCCCCCCCCCCCCCCCCCCCAATGGGGTAGGGAGAGATCCGGGTTGGTTGGTGATCCCCCGTACTATACATAGACTAGCGAGAGGATGAGATAGACGAGTACTGGCAAGAAGATGAGATAGATGAGAGAAGGATATAGCTTACTTTAATTAACAAAAAAAAAAAAATTGCCGTGGTGTACGTTGCCATGTTCTTGCAGAAGATTCCTTCTCGGCTTTCACATTTTGTGAGTAGTGGAGCGGAGGCCATGGCAGGCTGGAACGGGGCAAAACCCAGCAGCCCTGGCTCAGTTGATGCACACACATGAAACTGTTGAAATGCAGAAGTGCTTTGGAATCTGGCTGCAACCAGAATCACGAGCTCCGATCTGATTTACAAAGGATCCAACGGGGTGCTGATATCTGATCTGATTTACGAAGGATCCAACGGCCGTGCTGATAGTTTGGCCGATGCCGTCCCGCATACCGCACATCCCTCATGATATACAACAAACCCCCCTGGTGTCACCCGGGCCAGATAATAGCTGTGCCCGGGGCGGGCTGGGCGCTGGGGAGCGGCACTTCTTTTTTTTTAAAAGGAATGATGGGGATAGCGTAGAGGGGCAACTAATGGCACCAGATCAGTAGACAGACAAGGAGTGTACCGCTGATGTCAGACATAAGGGCAGTGTTTGGGAGACATCAGGGAGACATAAGGGGCGGTTTTTGGGAGATACAAGGCTTCATCAAGCTTGAGGGAGGAAGATTAGCGTTGCTGACAAGCGGCAGATGGACTGCTAGGACCCCCCCCCGACCAGCTCTACCAAGGAAGACGAATGGCCATGGATGACCCCCTCCATCGGCAATGGCATCTAGCCTTGGCTGCTGCTTGAACCCCACTACACATCCGAAAGTACTTGGACCTGCCCCCGTCCACATTCATACACATTCGACATCATGCCTGTGGAGGATTGGACCTTCCGCCGTCCACATTAATTCACATTCGACAGCACGCCTGTGGAGGTTTGGACCTTCCCCCATCCACATTCGTACCCATTTGACCACACATCTGTGGAGGTTATGTATTACTACGAATCCACACATGCACGCGGGCCCCTACTCCTGAGAGTACCCACCCACAAGCCTACTCACACACAACAGCCCCCTACTTCTGGAGCCGTGCAGCGACCCCAAGCCAACACGCACACACCAGCCAGTTGTTCCCGCACCATCCACAGGACCCACACACACATAACACGGTATTAACACCACCCCCTTTTTTCACCGAGTCGTACGCGAACCACACGCCTACACCCCTCTTCTCCCGCGAGCTGCGCACCAACCGTAAAAGCCTACTCGCACACACGATGCCCCCCTCCTCCAGTGAATCGCCATGCATGCTTTCCACAAAGCCCTTCTGAGGTTGTCCGAGGCATACTTGCAATCCATTCATTCGCAACGGCTTCAGTCCACATAACCAACAGAAGATGAAAAACGGCGCTTCTTCCAAGAAGAATAGACATAGCAATAAGGGTGGGATGAAGAAGGGATGGCAGCAAACAAAGGAGAGGGAGGGGAGGGGGTAGGGGGAGGGGGGATGTATTGAGTTATCATTGCCAAACCCTCACACAGGAGAGCCGCATGTCGCATGCAACCTACAAGAGGGTTGGACCCAACAAACAAATGAACCGGAGAGCAGACAAGACACTTCACGAAGAGAATATAAGCATAGCAGAGGGTCAGTCATAGCTGATTCAGAACAACCATACCTGAATTATGGCCACTAAATTGCAGTGACAACCTCTCCTGATGAAAGAGCGGAGAAAATACTCCTCCCTCTCCACACCAGGCATAATTTACAGCAAAAAAAAAACCTCCCAAGTATTGCTTGGTCAGCGCCACACAGCGTTTCAAAGATTAGCATGTTGGAGTCCTGGAATCCGGCGGTTCTGCCATGATGAAACTCCTTTTCCCTCTGCGGTATCCCTCTTACCAGACACACGGACTGCCGTCGACAGACGATTGACAAATTGGGACCACTTGGGACCACTTGGGACTTGGGACCACTTGGGACCACTTCTCCATTCTATTGCTGACGTGAGGGACCACCAAACCCCTCTTAATTTATCAACACTGGACCGCTGCGACTAGCAGCGGCCGGTCAATCTACGGGGCTGCCAACTACTCGACTCAAATCAATCATCAGACCAACACACACATTTTTAGTCACAACAACATCAGGGCAACCTTTCCCCCACCTCTTGTTCATCAGCCTGGAGTGCAGTTTGGCTTGCGACTCCCTGGGGCGGTTCGGATACCAAACTGTCTTCCAGAGTCTCCCAGTGACCACGCAGAGCAGCATATCACCACCACAACCGTATCTCGGAACGATATCCCCTAATGGGCCTTTGACACCGGACAACAACGCACAGCAAGCAGCCGCCGCCACATCCACCTTACTCACTACGACCTCCCTCAACTCAGGGAGATGGGGGCGAGCTTCCCTGCCTGTTGCCAGTAGCTTATTCTGCATAGAACGATATCCCCAAACGGCCCGTTCACACAGAACGACAGCGCAACCAGCAGCCGCCACATCCACCGTAATCGCTACCACCTGCATCAGCTCAGAGGGATGGCGACAAGCTACCCTGTCACTAGCAGCTCACTCCTCATAGCAAGCAATCTGGCCGCAGGGATGCTCGCTGACACAGATCAATCACGTAATCGACAACATGCTGCAGCAATGACAAACAAAAACAGACACATGTAGGAAACAAACAAACAAACAAATTCTCTCACGGGACTCGACAGAGAAAGAGCAGCACAGAGTGCTGCAAATTCAGCAGTCCTACGCTTGGAAAACCCGGATCTTGTGGGGAAAGAACACCCCAGCCACTTTGAAGAAGACTGTGAAGTCCTGAGCAAACATTCAGAAGAAAAGGAGTTGGGACTTTTGCAATTGGATGGTCCCCTCCTTCCGTAGCAGGGGATTCCCTCCCGATGCTTGTGAAACCGACGCAGACGATCTATACATTGTCCATCCTCATCAAGGTAACACAGAGATCTCTGAAGTACTCTTATGTTAATCTCCAGCTCCAGCACCATTGCCACTGAGCTCTTCCGCGCTTTGGGGGTGGTACTCTTTTGTTCATCTTCAGCACCAGAGCCACTGAGCTCTTTCCCTTTGTGCCCACCCCACCCCTGCGTTCTGTCGATATTCGTCGAATGCCAAGCAAGGTTACCCGATGAAGTATTCACCCGTGCACTGACTGTGTGCACTTATTCCTGTCCCGGCGAAACCCCGAGTTAGGGGCATTTATTTATTTCATGTTCACAAATCAAACATCTCCAGCCACCAGTGTACCTCCCTCTCTCCCTCTCTCCCTCTGTGCCCTCCCCCCCCCCACCCTTTTTTGGCGGCCGGATTACCCAACACCACTCTTCCCCTCCACCTTTCCACCCCCCCCTCCCAGTCTACCGTTTCCCCCCCCTTCTCTCCCCCTTCTTCAACGCGTGTACAATTATATATATATATATATATATATATATATATATCTTGCAACGCCACCTCTTGCCATTCCCTTTCACACGAGGAGATTTGAACTTTCGCCTACATACACACAAATCCATCTACGGACCTCTCACCTCCGCCACCTCCTCCTCCTCCGCACTGCTAATCTACGGAAGCTTTGTTCCTTCGCGACACCGGAGGCTTCCCTCCGAAGAAGTCAGCCCCATTCAACACCCCTCCCCCCCCTCCACCATTCCCAGTGATCCCATTCACACCTACGGCTCTTACCGCATCTATCAAACCGCTACCAACCCCCCCCATATTGGACCAGTTCCCAAACAAGTTGCCGCCACTCAGACGCCGTTTTCCAATAGAGGAAAGCAACCCCCTGCTGTCGGCATCCCCATCCTGCTCAACAAAATTGATCTGGGGCAAACTGGAAGAGCGTTTCACTTTCATAATTAGATGCTCGACAGCAGACGCACTCAACAAGGAGCCAAGGCCACCTCCTCCTCCTCCTCCAGCTCCTCCCACTGCTCTCCCTCCTTCTTCACCCCCCTTTCCCCCACCGCCAAACCCTGCCAAGTCCAAATTCTGCCATCCATTGATAGTTCCAAGAGGAGGAGGCAGGATCGTTGCCGCCTCTGCTCCTGCCTTCCCTCTAACAACGCCCCCGCTCACACTTCCGAGATTAAGACCCTCGTCCCTTGCCACCCATTCTCCACTAGAGGCCTTAGGTCTAGGCATCGGACCCCTCCCCGGAATGAAACCTCTCCTTCCCTTCTCGTTAGCAATATCTCCGTTCTCTCTCACCCCAGCAACGGATCCCGATACATGCACAGCAGCCCCATAACCCCCGCCGAACGAGTCTTTGGAGTCGACCACTGACCCTGCCTTCGAAGACCCTACGGTTTTCCGCCGCACAAGTTTTTCATCGACAATCTCTGTGATTCCCCCTTGCACGGCCTCATCCCAGCCCGCAACGCAACCCACCGCTCCCGCAGGCCGCACTGTCTCCCTTGCGGCTCTTGTTCTCTCCGACAAGGCTTCCACAACTGCAACGACTTCATCGGCCTGCGACACCCTCCTCCTCGATGAAGGGCCACCTGCTGTTGCCAACCCAACAAAGGTATCCTCTGCATGCCACCCTCCTCCCAGTTCTGCCTTCCCCAACCCACCCCCGCCTTCCTCAAGCGAACTCCGCGGAGGCACAGACGGAATCTCGCCCTCACCTGTGCGCTCCGTTCCTCTCTCAGAGAGACCACTCTGGTTCCGTCCCTTTGATTCCCAAATGGGAAGATCCCTCCTCTCCATCGGCGACAACAAACCTTCATCATCCTCCGATCCATTCTCATTATCAGATTTATACACAGCCAATTCCATCCCCTCAGAAGCTCCTTGCTTTCTCAGGCCATAGTATCCTCTAAGCAACCCCATAGCCGGGGAAATGCTTTTCCGGTGCATCGACTTACCCTCCGCTCCTCGCCTCCTTCCTTTCCGGCTCTCTATTTCACAGTGTAAAGGCCATGACGATGACGATGATGGCTCGCAAGACGATAGCACCGGGGATTCCTGCTCTGAAGATGGCCCCTTGCTGCACGGTTGGGTTCACCATACATGCCAGAATCAAACCACCCATGGAAATGTTAGGTCCCGTGGGCAAACTTTTTAACAAGCAGCATTTGGAGGGATGCATCCAGTCTCACAAAAACAAGTTACACAGGTTGCACCTGCACCCCACTCTATAGCTTGTCCCCGTGTTACCGTCAACTAAGGGCATGTCAAAATTTCCTCCAAATAGATTTGATTATACGGGGCCACCGGAGGGGGGGG